GAAGGTCCCAGGAAGGCCCACTGCAGGCACATCAGCCCACAAAGGGCCACAAGCAGAGCTACCTCGGCAGAGTCAGCCGGCTCCGTTTGCCCGGCTCCGTTGGCCTTCTGAGTCCAGTCAGCATGGTGAGCCGCCATTGATGGTCTTCCTGTGCCTTTTTCAAGCCCAAGCGTGCTCGGTCGTGTGGGAGAGGTATCTATGTCTATATTTCCATCAAGCCGTGGCAATCCTTTAGTCAGTCATATACAATTATTCCCCTGTCCGACCTTATCCCATCAGCATGTCTCAGTAATTAATTATGTAGGTCAATTCGATGTTTCAGTAGCTGTTGCGTCCATTTTGAATTGGCCCCTACAAGCGGGATCCGAGCACCATCCTGGGCCATGGCACGCCGGATCGTCTCGCCATCGCGATGGTCGTGTTGTTTCGCTGTGCGTCGTCTCACCGGGTCGGGCTGGGGAAAAAAATGCTGCAGACATCCGCTGTCAGACTCCATCCTGCTGTCATGAGACTCTATCCTCCTGGCGATGAGATCATGAAGAAGCGTAGCCCTAGACTCCTTGACAGTTATTCTGGCCCCCGCTGAGCAGGGTCAACTCGGAGGCAATTTGGTGCTCCTGGTGGCCAGCCCCGGAAAACTGCTCATCAAGCAAAGGCGCACCCGCATCCATCAACATCCCCAAGTGTTGGATATGGTTTTTGTCCCTTAAGCCCCAGACCAATCTCCTTCAAACCCTCAAACAGGGTCCAAGCCTTGTGCTGATCTTGCACCGACTCAGCCTCAAAACTACCGCCTCGTCGCCTCATGCACACCTCTTTTGCTTTGCACATCTGGCGGGACCCGCGCACATCCGGACGTTCACTCGATGTGCCGCACCTGCTGTGGCGACCTCGCAGGTCCAGCCGGTCCCGCAACCCCCAGCAACAGCGCGTTTCATCGACACGACAAACTCTGAGAGGGTCCAGAAATGATGAGAAACGTTGCGGATCAACTCTCATCAACAAGTAAAAATGACCAAACCATCTCAGTGGATCACCATGTAGGGTGTGTTTCTTTGACAACAGAAGGAACAGCCCCAATGACTGGGATAGTGCATCAACTCCCCCTCCATTGCACGCTGCCGTGTCTCTTTTTTCCGGCAGTGCCTGGAAGTCTGAAGAGTGCTCCCTCCAGTTGAGCACCAAGTGCTTTCATCATTTCCGTTACTGCCAGGTTGCCCTGATGGGATGAGAAGAGAACTTCATCATTGGCCAGGCTGGCCAGATTCTCCATAAATCTCCTCTGGGACGGAAGTGCTAAGCGCCTGAAGATACCACAGCAGCATTCACAAGTAAAAAGAACAGGAGGAATTCCACCCCAACTGATATAGTAGAGAACGTCCGACACCAAAATCACGTCAAAAGTCTTTGGCGCCGCCTTCCTGCTGTCACCCCATGCCTCATGCAGCAACTCTTGGGGTGACGACACCTCCTCAGACAAGCGTCCCAGATCGAACTGGGCAAATCCTGCGCACATGGGGCAGTTCTCTTGCGCAGTCTCCACCATAGTCACACTGATGTCGGTCCCATAGTGCTTCGCTGCAGGATGCATCTTCATTAAGCTTGAAAGTATGAAGCCAACGTTACACGACACATCCAGCAGCGATGTGTATTTCTTTCGCGCCAAGTATCTAAACACGTCGCTGCGCGTCAAACGCTGTTGGTCATACTTCCACACGCCACCTGAATTTTGCTGTCCATGTCGGTGAATGGCATCCCACGTGTCAGGGCTTGGCACAAAGTAGGCTCGCCAAACACCCCCACGATGAAAGTTCAACAGCTCGTCGCTGAATAGGACGACATACCAAGCGGCCATCAACGCGAGCAAACATGCCGCGCAAGGCCGTCCGAAGAGGGCCCTCTTACATAGCATGGGTCAAAAGCCGAGGGGATAAGAAATCAGTTCAGGGACGTTTCAAGCAAGATGGGTCACTATACAACTACTCTTTGCAAAGACCATAGAACTGAGGACCCTGTGTGCTGAGCCCCGGAGCAGGTTCTCCAGGCAACCGGAGATTGACAACAAACAGAAGCCTCCAAGGAGACGGCTTTGTTGGTACATATGCTGTCGCTTGAGAACGACGCATCACGTGAGCCTCATGTCATGACCGAACAACCTTCACGAAGCTTCAGCAGCTCGCCGAAAAGGGTGTTTTTCAAGTTGAAAAAATAAACATGCATGGCATTGGCATATAACCATCATTGGGTAAAAAATGTCCGACTCCTGGCATCCCCACATCCTCATTTTCTCGGGCGTGGGTGGAACATGAAGTGTGGTTGCTTCGGTTGGAAGGAGGCACCCCGAATGCCATGAATCCAAGCTTCCAAAATCAATTAAGTGGAGGGCCACAAACCATCCACCAACAGTTCTTGAGACACTCAGGATCGTCTTCAGCTGAGGTTGAACCATGGGGAGCCCGACGTGGAGGATGATCCAGCGTCTTGCCCACGATGAACCATGACACTCAGGATGTCAGTTCCTGCAAAACATCTTGGCTTCGGGTGGGTCTTGGGGAAGCCAACGATGGCTCGTTGCTGTCCAGCCCGTATCCGAATGTCTACTCACCTTGGATCTTGCACCTTTCTGGCATCTCCCAGATCCGCACTTTCCTGGATTTGGCATCTGACTCGCCAGGAACATCTGTCCTGCTAGGTTAGACCATGTCGATGCCTTGAGAAGGCGGTGATTTTCGGAGGGACAAGTCCCTACACACTAGCAATGTTTACTTGCAGCCCTCCGCACCCTCAAATTCATCAAAAGAGATGTATATGCAGATCGTCAGAGGATTTAAGAGGTGGATCCTTGAAATGCTCGAAACGTTTGATGGATGTGGATGTGGTGCCATTGATTGAGAAGCACTGCCATCGGTTATTATGTGTTTGTCTCTTTTTGTTGCAAATGTGTGGTCAAATCATAACACCCTGAGCTCACACAAAGAGCTCTTTTCACCAAAAATAGAAATAGAAGTCACATGTCAACACCTCAACCGGGGCCATAAGCAGCGGGAAACTGCTTGGCTAGAAGTCCGAAATGAACAGAGCAGGGAATGCCTTACAAATCCTTACAGTCTCAGAGTGTTCAGTCGCTGGAGACCACGAGAAGCAATGCGCCGGACGTTTTTCTGCGAACGCTGGAGACGAACCTGCACGCGACAGATTTTTGCTCAGGCACCATGCAAGGTGAGGACTGGCCAGTCACTTAGGCGCCAGGTGCTGGAACTTCTCCTTGTAGTACTGATTGTGGCAATAGCTCTCGCGACAATAGATCACGTCGCAATGGTAGTTGCCCATGGCGCAAGCAAACAGGACATACTTCTCGGCATCTTCCACTCGCGTGAAATGATCCTTCGGTCCCGCCGGGATCGCTGAGAAGCCCACGCTACGCCAGCCATTGGGTTCCTCGAATTCATCGCCCCAAACATCGACCCTGAACCTCTAGGGAATTACAAGGCAAACGGGGTCCAAAGCCCACCAATTGGCATGTTTTAGAGCCCAACACAGAGTCTACAATGATCTACAATGCGAAGCAGTCCGAAGCACAGTCCTGGATGAAGCCTCATCAGAGAACTCTGCACATGATCAGGCTTGAAAAAATATGTTCTACTACAGCATATTCCACCAACTGCTCCTTCCTGCTTGGTTTGCACATCGCCCACAGGTCCTAAGTCTAGACTTTGGAGCTATATAGATGCTTGGTGCGCCCAGGTGACCCGTGACCCTAAACATGATTGTTCACCATGGTTCGGGATAGCGTGCGTCGCACATGGCCTCTGCCTCGGGGATGGTGGTATTCAGCGTCACCTGGTCATTTTGGCAGTGTCCCACCAGGAAGCAGTAGCTCGCATCGATGTCATCCAGCGGATGCAGCTCGACACTTTTGGCAAAAAGGGCCTTTGCAGTGGCTAGAGGATCGTGCCGTAGCAAACAATGAGGGACCACGGCTTCAATGCTTCTGGCCTCGGAGTAGCACCAAGACTGAAGATTTGTGCCACTGGGTTTGGCAATACCATGCTGCAAGTCTTCGAGGCTTTCCAATGTCCCAGTGGCGTTGAGACAGTCGAAAGGTTCTTCACACATGTAATGCCACACCAGGCATGAGGCTGCCGGTCTCACGGGCAAATCGGAGTCACGCGCCGCGTCACTTGCCTGCGTCGCGAGCCGGTATCGCTGTTCCATCTGAAGGAAATGGGTTCCGATTCCCGCACACTCGATCTCTTCGCAGCTAGATCTGCACCGTGCAAGGAGGAGCGCGAGGAGGGGCCAACGACCCATCGCTCCGGATCGCTTGCCTGGATGCGACTGCTCTGCCCCACCCACCAACCGACATACAGTGGGGTCAGTGCGGAGATGGCCACCTAGGGGGGTCAGGACTTGTTGTCATGGCTGTGTGATGTCAGACTGTCATTCATTGGCGATCGATGCGATTTCACTCTCTTTTGCTGTCTCACTGTCTCCCCTGGTCGGCTTGAAGACTGCGGAGGTCCGTCCCAAGGGTGTGTGAGCCTTGCAGCAACTTTATCTTTTTTCTAGAGGTCCTGTTGCTTCAAAGATTCCGTGAGACAAAGTCTGTCAAACCCTTTCATCTTTCGACCTCGACCTGGTCATCTGCCACTTCGCAGGATACTTGGCACTATTTGGCACTCAAATCTAATCTAAATTGATCTAAATTGATATTCCCCTCACGCCCCTCACCTGAGCTCAGGATTTTCCAAGCCGATCTACCGCAACCGAGTCACGTCTCGCCCGGAAGCATGATTGCGTCCACCCAGGTTAACAAATGAAGACCAGTTCTAGTGCTCTTGGGTATGCCACATTCGTTTCTCCGCTTTTTCGGGATGTCTCCATAGGTCCTGAAAAAGGTCCACATCAGTCGACCAACCGATTGGGGAAAAGGTGCTCCACCATCGGCTGCAAACCACCGTCCCGCTCCTCAGATGGCCAGTCCACGCCCGCCGTCACGGCGATCTCTCTACTTCGCCCCTGCCAAGGCAGCCTCCACATGGCGGACATGGGGATGGACTTTCCATGCACACCGCAGTCCCAAAGTTCATCGATGGACTTCATCCTTTGTCTCTCCTTGTTTGCAGTTTTTTTCCAGTGGACATTTGACAGAAGTCACAAGACCACACCCGCGAAAAGGGTCTGCATGGAGCCTCGTGTAAGACATAGTCGGCTTCTTGTTTTCAGAAACACCTTCTAGTGACTTTGGAACCTAACCCTCAATATCAGTCCTGTCCTTGGTTGCATTGTGACAAGGGTGGGATCAGGCTGACTTGATCGCCGCAAAACAAGATGCCGCCAAAATACTTCTTGCGATTTTTTGGGAGTTTGCAGTGGCCCAAAGCGACCCGCGCTTCGTCGGCCCCGCTCGGGGCGCAGGCGCTTCTTCGCGCCTTCGCGTCTGTCAGGGACTCCTTCTCTTGAGCACGGGCCTCTTGGGGCCGTGGTGCCAGGGTGGAAACCTGGTTTCGGGGTTTCACCTGGTGCGGCCATCCGGTGGGTGAAAGCGGCATTTCACCCGGTCAGATCGTGTTGGTTCCCTCTCTGTTGCTCCCACCCCACCCCCCTTTGGGCAAAGCCTTGGGGTATGTTCCTTGGGCCAAGGAGGCAGAGAATGATCATCTGCTGGCTGCTTCTTCGACACCTTCCTACCCGGCGACCCGGGGTCACACCACACATGTTCACCGGTTCCGAACTCTTGGGAGCCACGAGCGAACCACGAACAGAACCCGTTCGGAGGAACGGGACCGGCGTGGGAGCGATCACCGGACACGCACGTTCCAACCCGAGACAACACAACTGGGCTCTGGCGTCCAAACCAAATGACACGCGGAACACAACGAGGCTGTCTCAGAAATCAGGAAAACGGCCAATAGCCAGGAAATGATCTCAAAGATTAAACAGTGAAGAATTGGTTTCCAAGATCTTCCAAGTCTTCATTGGCTTCTGGTTTCTCCCATCAAATTGAGTTTATAACTTAACCATTTTCCTTGACCCTTCCCGTCCCTGGGCCAGGTCTGTGGGTCAGCGCCGTCTTGCGCGTCTCGTAGTTGGCCAGCAGCCAGCTGCAATCCTTCCGCGTCTGTGCGTCTTGCGCTGTACATCGTTCGGCATGCTCGGTTGGGTTCGTAACAAAGCTTGGTTGAGCTGGGGGAACCCTTTGGAATGGAGTCGTTGATCGCAGAATATCTCCCTGAAACTGTGACCAGCTGCTGTACCCAATGGCAAGCAGTCGGTGTCTGGTTCAGAATTGCGCTTTCGACCCCCTAGTCGGCCAGCAAATGGTACATCGAACACACTGTCGGTACAAGGGAGAGTCTTAGTCATCAGCAAAAATAGCTTTCCAAAGTTGGGCACTCTGCAAGTGACGAGCCACCAGCTGGGC